CCCCAAAACCCCAAAACCCCAAAACCCCTTTTGAGTAATTTAAAATTGCACCCTAAAATATTAATAAATTTAATGGAGAGCGCACCCCAAGATTCTAGGCCATTACGAGTCCTGGTTCTAGGAGGCTCCAGGTAGGGATGTTCTTAACTCTATAGCTTCATGGGCCTTTGCTTCATTAAAAATGTGCTTGAAAGGTGGCCTAATTCAGTAGTTCACCATCTGAACAGAGGGAATGATTACTGGAACCATGAAATCCAGAACACCCACAAAAAGTACGGGGATAGAATCAATCACTTAAAATGTAATAGGAAAAAGAGGACTAAGTTCATAAAGGTAACTTCCTCCGTATCTTTAGGTTATCGAAGGTACAGCTGAAAGCATAGCTGAAGCAGCTAGCCTCAATCTGAAGGACGATATCATCTGGGACATTGTTGCAGACTTCAGTTGCTACATTCCATCAGACATGAGGACCAGCATGATAGCCTTCAGACAGATCAAGCTGGGCACTTATGTGTATATCTCTACTGATTCTGTCTATGAGGTGACCCAGGCAAAGTACAAAGAGACTGAATTGAGTGATGATGACAGCTATGAAACAGTGGACTCCGTCCACTCTTTTGATAGCTACTCTTCTTCCTCTAGCTCTGACTCTATCAGCTATACCATTGAAAGAAGGGATGATGAAGAATTAAGTAATCTCTGAATAATCCTTTAGGGAGCAATCCTGAGTATTTCACTGAAGATGGCCTCATCAAAGAAGGATATGGGTTTCACAATAAAAGGAATAATCGATTCAGAGACTACCTCTCCACAATGGATGCCTATGGGTTTGAGAAATTAACCGCAGAGAATATTCTGGCCCAAAAGTGCAAAGACAAGCACAAATATATCATCCTGAGGCTTCCCGATGTTATTGGGCCCTATGATGACTCAGGAAGATTCTGGGTCCTAGTCATAAAAATGATGGCACTTATACAACTCAAACAGTCTGATAGCTCTAAAGGGAAGTTTGATATTTTGAAGTTTAAATTTGACCAAGAGGAGGAAAGCAAGCATATGTCTATCGTCAGCTCTGTTGATGTATCCAATCTGTTGCAAATAATCGCCTTAAACTCCTACAGTAAGCCTCTGTTTACTTTATAGACCAAAATGAGCAATTCCTGGCTTGTTGTAATCAAATTTACAACATGACTTCTCAAGAAAATTTGTCACTAAAGTCACTGCATTCAATCATTTTTGACAATTTAGTGGGCAAAGAGGCAGAACTCTCTTTTGATTCATTTTGGGAAAGAGACGAATCGTCCAAGAATACCTATCCCTCAGTGCACTGTGGGCCTATCTGTAAGACAATTTCATAGAAAATGCCTCAAACATTCGAGTTTTGCCATATTTTATCAAATAGTGGGGAGGTCAGACTGATTAGCATTGAAGAATCAGTGAAGTTTCAAGATAGTTATCCCTGACTGTTTCCTTTTTTTCATCATGATGAGGCAATTTTAATTATGCTTCAAGAACTAGCTTCAATAATTTCCGCTATAGGAAGTCAAAAACTGTTAGATGCATTCTCAGACCTGGGCTATAGCCCTCAAACTTGCGAGAAGTCAGTCATACAGGCGGCAGAGTTCTTTAGAGAGGCAACTTGCTTGTCTTCAGACCTCAAACTCACCTCTCCGTTCATGGACGAACTTGGTAAGACTACTTGTAATCATCTGTAGAAACTCCTATCGACAAATGCAACAAAATTCAAAGAAAAATCTTCTGTTAATATTTTAACTTTGCTGATAAAAAGAATCTATCCACGAAATAAACCTCTCAGTCAGCCTTGAAGGCTCAAAACAGATTTAGAAAGTTAGCTAGGCTATCCCTCAGAGCTTAATTTTTTTGAATTAGTAATAGCACATCTAAGCTGCTTAAGGTCTCCAGGACTACAGATCAGAGAATTTGCTAATTTATCCATTTAGCCTGGTTACTCCTCTTAGGGCTTATTTTAAAGAGTCTTAGTAATTATAGAGTATTAAAATAGAGCATTATGGTAATGAAGAAGCAATAATTTTACTTTAAAAACGAAGTAAAAATTATAGCATAGAATTTAGCCTGAAGATAAAGATGTTCCAGAACGTAATGTAAACAAGTAGGGTTATTATCTCTATCGTACATCCTCAAGGTTGCTTGATAGGTGGAAGATCTCTTCTTAAAGGTGTGTGACCACTCTTTATCACCTTCTTTCGATCTTTGTGAGTATATTTCAAAATTCTCGAGAGAAATAGGGGTTTTGGGGTTTTGGGGTTTTGGGGTTTTGGGG